AGGGAAAATGAGAATTAATCTCCAAGGGAAATGCTCACACCATAATCCCTTCTCCTCCATTTGTCTCTCAGGATTTTGGACTTTCACGCACATGCAACCATTGAGATCAAGCCGCTAGGTCTGGGATTCAAACCACAGTTGGTCATGCGGCAGTCCAGTGCCTTAACCACCATGCCACCTGCTGGCCCTAGGCAATGACCCTTTCTTAAACTTGGCTATCTTTTTTTTTAATTTAAGAGTTATTTACTTGGGGGGCTGGCAGATGGCATGGTGGTTAAGAGCACTGGTACTCCCACATAGCCAACCATGGTTGAGTCCCAGACCTGGCAGTTTGCTTTCTCACTTCCTCTCTCTCTCTCACACACACACACACTCTGCCCCTACCGGGTCAAATTAAAAATAAATAAAGTTAGGGGCTGGCACTTGGCATAGTGGTTGAAGTGCTGGACTTCCACATGGCCAACCACGGTTTGAGTCACAAACCTAGAGGCTTATTTCCTATTTTCCCTTTCTCTCTCTCTGGTCAAATTAAACAATAATGATGATAAATGAAATAAAATAATAAAATAAGTAAATAAAGTTAAATAATAAAAAATAATTCTTAAAAAAAAAAAAAAAAGAATTATTTACTTGGGCCAGTCGGTGGCATGGTGGTTGGAGCACTGGGTTCCCAAATGGCCAACCATGACTCGAGTCCCAGACTTGGTAGCTAGCTTTCTCACTTTCCCCCCCTCTCTCTGTGTCTCTGAACAAATTAAATAATACTAATAATAACAAAGACAATTTTTAAAGGATTATTTACTATTACTATTGTTATTATTATTATTATTATTTTAATTCACCAGAGAGAGAAGGAAAGTGAGAAAGCAAGTCTCCAGGTCCAGGATTAGAACTGCACTCCGCTATGTTGAAGTCTAGTGCCTTAACCACGATATCACTTGCTAGCCCATAACCTTCCCTATCTTAGACTCACAATATTTCTCTCATTTTCTTTATATCTTTCGAACCATCTCAGTTGGGTTCCACTGCTGACATCTTTTCTATGCTCAGTAACTTCCAAATCTACACTGCTACTCTGGATCTGCCTATTAGATGCCCCAGATATAACAATAGCTATTCAAAAGGGGTTCACTCCTCACCCCATCCATCTTGCTCTTCTTTGTTCTTTATGTTGACTGGTAATGACATCTATCTAGCTAGTTTCTCAATTCAGAAACCTGTGAGTTGGGTTGATGCTGTAGCCTAGTGGCTTAAAGGGCCATATTTCACATGGGCAACTGCATAGTTCAAATTTTAACTTGAGTAGCCTAAAAAACACGGTGGGGTATATGCATGCCCAACAACCCCAAGAGGAGAATGAAGGAGAAGGAATTACAGCACGGTCCTCCCTGCTGAGGGAAGATTTCTCACTTTCTCTCTCTGTCTCATCTCCAGTGAATACATGTGCCCTGTGGCAAAAATATACATTAAAAAAAAAAAAAAAAAAAAGCAAAAATAAAAGAAAGAAAAAAAAAAAATGCATGCATGCCCAAATTCCTGACAAGACAGAGATATGGAGAAGTGACTACACTATGACCGTGCCCCATTGGGGTACTCTCTCCCTCTTCCACTCTCTGGCAAGTCCATGTACCATCATCTGGCAAATGAAGAAAACTACTAAAGGCCAGAAAGCTGCAGGGTGACAGCCATCATCACCAAGTTCTTGATGCATTATTTACTTTAAATGGAGAGTCACCAACCTCCAACTTAGTTTCTTTTTTGCAGAGGTTTTTGCTATAGGGCGCATGCACATGCCCAAAAGAAAAAGACAGAGAGACAGAAAGCAAGAAATCATCCCCCAGGGGAGATGGCCACGCTGCAATCCCTTCTCCTCCATTCTCCTCTTGGGATCTTGGGCACATGCGCACATGCACCCGGCATGTGTTTGAGCCACCGGGTTGGGACTCGAACCACAGTAGACCACATGAGAGTCCAGCAACATAACTATTACGCCAACTGCTGGCCCCTCAACCAACCTCCACCTATAACGAGAATTGTGAGACACAGATACAGAAACCATGTGTTATTTGTTAATAAGATATTTAAGTACTATTTAAAATGTTTTACTTCTATAATTAAAAAAAAAAAAAAAAAAAAAAAACCAAATCAGAACACTTTGAGGGCCCCCTTTGAACTACAGATAAAGTTTAGGCTCCTTAGTGGGGTACACAAGATCCTTAAACTGGCTTCTCATAAATAACCAACTTCATCTCTTATTATTACATACTTTATTTTTCCTGCACTAGCAATGTTGATCTGTTTACATTTTTCAATACATAAGATGTTATTTTCATGTTTTTTTTTTTTTTTTACTTTTACTATGAATCAAATTTCCTCAAAAGGGAAATTTCATTGATTTCTTTATTCCCTCACAAACAGACCAACTGTAATCGAATGAGGTGAATATTCGCCTCAAGATTTTGTTGTCTTCATAATAGAAAAGATGAGGCTTAGAACTGGATCACTTGACCCTTTCTCTTATCTCCTGCCAGTTCATAATGCTTACATCTCTAATAGCCAGCGTCCTCTTAGATCTGCAGCTGGGCTCAACACGTTCAAGCCTCAGCTCAATCTTCTTTGTAGTTTTTGCCTTTTCCCAGGAAATAGGCCTAGTCTGTCCACCACAGCCACTCTGCTTCCTGTCACAACACCACCTTCCCTGAGCGTACAGAGAATCCTTGCCCTTTTTGTGCTGTGTCACTTTATGAGGCTGGTGCTTGCCACACTTCTTACAAAAGGTCCAGTGGGTTTTAAGGACACTCACCATGCTTGTGGGCCTGCTATCTGCACAGAAAGTTATTTTCATGTTTTGTGTGTTTTTGTGCATGCGGTTTCCTCTCTAAAACTTTCACCGCCCGTTGGGCTAGTCTCGTAGCTCAGGACTTAAGTGCCATGAGTAGGGAACCGGATTCCACATGACCTACTGTGAGTTGAAGCCTGACCCTGGAGGCCCAAGAAACATGCCAGCCAGGTGCATGTGCTTACATGCCCCAAATCCTAATAAGATGGAGAAACAAAAGATAGGGGATTGTAGTATGACAATACCCCACTGGGGAATACTTGCGTGCTCTCTCTCTCTCCCCCAAGTCCCCTGGTAAGCACACACATCGTCTCGCAATTAAAAACTTTTTTCAATCACCCATTATCAGTTTTTTTTTAATAAATTCCTATTCAATCCTCAAGACTGTATCTTTCCAGGTGTTTCCAAATTTAAAATAAATAGATAAATAAAGGGATTAATAAATGTTAACTAAACTGAGCAATTTGTTTGTTTAGTTTCCCTGCTAAATCCTGAGCTCCAGGCTAGCCACTGGTATGGTGGTTAAGATAGCTAGATTCCACACAAATGCATGGTTTGAGTCCCAGACCCAGTGGCTTGAAAAATATACTAGATACATGGGCGTGCCTGCCCAAAATCCAAGAGTAAAATAAAAGAGAAGGGATTGCAGCATGGCCATTCCCCTGGAGTGAGATTTCTCATTTTTCCTCTCTCTCTCTCTTTCTCTCTCTAGTGAGTACATGTGCCTATGGCAAAAATATTAAAAACAAAAACAGAAATAAAAAAACCTCTGCACTTTACAGTGATCATTCATCCTGTATGGTGAGACTTTCAGTGCTAAAACCACATTAAGTTCCAGAGAACACTGTAAGGTTGGTTACTCTACTCCATATATATAAGAAATGTTTCATAATCATTCCACATTTCTATCTAGATGTTCAATATAATTAAACACGAATGCTTAAAACGATGGATGAATCAGATGAAGACAAATATAAACAACCCAATTACCTACAAGACCAAATACTGCCCTGATTTAATGGTACAAGACTTGTTTTTTAACTTCAATAGTAGCATGTACAACTTATTTATTATTACCACTGCAACTCTGGCAAATAAGCACAAAGAAATTAGACGATAAATTCTTCTAAAGAATAAATACCTGTTCAAAATCAGATTTATGTTTATGCTATTAAAACTTTAAAGGGGCTGGCAGGTGGCACAGAGATTAATTAAGATGCTAGATCCCATATGGCTGACTCTGCAGTTTGAGTCCTGGGCTGGTCGTTTGAAAATTATGCTGGCACATTCATGCCAAAAATCCCTAAAGGAAAATGGAGAAAAAGGGATGGCAATTTGGCCATCCTCCCTGGGGTGATTTCTCACTTTCCCACTCTTTCTTGCTGTCTCTTTATCTCTCTGGCAAGTGCACTGGGCCCTATAGCAAAAACTAAAATAAATATGGTGCCAATAGGTAGTGTGGTGGATGGGGTACTGGATTCCCACGTGGCCAACCACAATTCAAGTCCTGCACCTAGCGTCTTGCTTTCCCTTTCTCTCTCTCTGTCTCTCTCTGGTTAAATTGAAAATAATAACAACAAATTGAATTAAATAAATACATCTTTTTTAAAAAAAGGATAGATAGTTCCTATGGTATAATTATCAGCTCTATGTAAATGCAAAAAAACTTCACTATTGAATCTACTTAAAATCTCTTTCTAAAAATTATTTATTTGGGGGACCAGCAGGTGGTGTGGTGGTTAAGGCGCTGGACACTTCCACATGGCTGACCAGGGTTCGAGTCCTAAATCTGGTGGCTTGCTTTCTCACTTCTTCTCTCTCTCTCTCTCATCCTCTGTCTCTCTCTGGTCAAATTAAGAAATAAATTAATTAATAAAGAAAATAATAATTCAAAAAAATTATTTATTTAATTTTATTTGTTAATTCATTTACTTTAATTTTACCAGAGAGAGAGAGACACACACACACACAGAGGGAAAGTGAGAAAGCAAGCCACCAGGTCCAGGACTCGAACCATGGTAGGCCATGTGGGAGTGTCCAGCACCTTGACCACCATACCACCTGTTGGTCCCAGAATCTTAATATCCCAATAATCTCAACAAATAAACAAAAGTCAGAAGACAAAAGGAAAGTTCTTAACTATTTTTGGTTACTATGTTACCTGTTATTCAGCAGAATGTTAGAACATTTAATATCCCGATGCAGGAAATTCTTTTTGTGACAGTAATCCAATCCTTCCATTAGCTGTTTCATGAAAGACTTGATATGGTCCTCAGAAAAGTGCACCAAACCGGATTCTAGGAGTCCCATTAAATCATGGTCCATATACTCAAATACAAGGTAAAAGGCACCTGTATAAAAAAATTGGTTAAAATAGTAAAAACAAGAAGAAGATAGTTGCCAAAATAACAACAGCTCAAATTTTAATGTAATTTTAAAATAGTTACTTATTTAATTCCGTTTGTTATCATTATTTTTAATTTGACCAGACAGAGACAGAGAGAAAAAGGGAAAGTAAGAATGCAAGCCGCCAGGTCAGGGACTCAAACCATAGTCAGCTTGTGGGACACCTTCAACTGCCACGCCCACCTGCCAGCTCTGTTTTTTACTTGTTTTTCGTTTTTTTTTTCTTTTTTAAAGAATTATTTATTGGGGGACCAGTAGGTGGCGTGGTGGTTAAGGCGCTGGACACTCCCACATGGCCGACCACAGTTCGAGTCCCGGATCTGATGGCTTCCTTTCTCACTTTCCCTCTCTCTCTTTCCTCCTCTTTGTCTCTCTCTGGTCAAATTAAAATAAATGAGTGAATAAATAAAATTAAATAAATAATTAACAACAACAAAAACGAATTATTTATTGGGACCAGCAGGTGACGTGGTGGTTAAGGCACTGGACACTCCCACACAGCGGTCCATGGTTCGAGTCCCGAGCCTGGAGGCTTGGTTTCTCACTTCCTCTCTCTCTCTCTTTCTCTTTCTCTTTGGTCAAATTAAAATAAAACAAATGAATAAATAAAATTAAATTAAAATAATTCTTTTTAAAAAAGAATCATTTATTTAATTCCTTTTTTTTTTTTTTAGAGGTTTTTACTATAGGGTGCATCACTCGCCACAAAGACAGACAGAAAACAAGAAATCACCCCCTAGGGGGGATGGCCACACTGCAATCCCTTCTCCTCCGTTCTCCTCTCAGGATCTTAGGCACGCACGTACATGTGCCCAGTGTGAGTTTGAGCCACCAGGTCTGGAACTCGAACCACAGTCAACTACATGGGAGTCCAGAGACACAGTCATTACACTAACTGCTGGTCCAATTTTAAAAGTTGACCATAGCACTCAAATGACCCCTCAATTTTATAGATTAATTAAAAGAAAGTGAATTGGGCCCAGCACATGGCATAGTGGTTAAGGTATTAGAATTTCCACATGGCTGACCACGGTTCAAGTCCTGACCTTGGTGGCTTGCTTTCTCTCTCTCCCTCTCTCTGTCTCTCTTCCTCTGCAAAAACTCATGTGAAAAACTAATAAATAAACTGGGACCAGCAGTTAGCATAATGGCTATGTCGCTGGACTCCCACGTAATCGACCATGGTTCGCATCCCGGACCCGGTGGCTTAAAACTCACGCCAGGCGCATGTGCGTGCATGCCCAAGATCCCGAGAGGAGAATGGAGGAGAAGGGATTGCAGCGTGACCATCCCCCTGGGGGGTGATTTCTCGCTTTCTGTCTCTATGTCTCTCTCTGTCTGGTGAGCGCATGCGCCCTGTAGCGAAAAACCTCCCCCCCCAAAAAAAACCTAATAAATAAATTAATTAAATAATTTTTTTAAAAAATTATATATAAAAAAAGAAAGTGAATCATCTAATTCAACTCTCTAAAATTTGTAAGTAAATAAAAGGAGTAAGATGCTAAAAGAATACTACATAACTTAAAATTAACTACCTTTCCTCTTTTCACAGGGTGTGTGATAAAGGCAAATACTGTAAAATAACAAACACTAGAAGGCCCGAACACTGGCACAGCAGTTAAATGTGATGCTCTGTAAGGCTGATCCATGTTCTCGATCCATGTAGAAGACATTCCTGAGTATACCAGACGCATGTGTGCCAACGATCCAGGGTTGGTTCAAGCTAGTGGTGCCCATACCCTGTTGAGGTTACTGTCTGGATCAGGAAGGAAATAAACTTAAGGAAAAAAACTCTTATTTTTTTTGGAGAGGTTTTCACTATATGGCACATGTGCTCGCCAGAAAGACAGAGAGACAGAAAGCGAGAAATCACCCCCCCACAGGGGATGGTCACGCTGCAATCCCTTCTCCTCCATTCTCATCTCGGGATCTTGGGCACGCACGCACACATACCCGGCATGAGTTTAAGCCCCACGGGGTCTGGGACCAGCCACTGCTGATCCCAATAAAAAATAATTCTTAAAAAAAAAAAAAAATCTGACAAGGGACTAACAGTTGGCGTAATGGCTATGTTGCTGGACTCCCATGTTGTTGACTGCAGTTTGAGTCCCCAACCGGTGGCTTGAACTCACGACGGCCACATGTGTGTGCGTGCCCAAGATACTGAGAGAATAAAGAAGAGATTGCAGCATGGCCATCCCACAGAGGGGTGATTTCTCGCGATCTGTCTGTCTGTCTCTGTCTTTATGATGAGTGCACATACCCTATAGCTGGTCTCCCATGTGGTCGACCATGCTTCGAGTCCTAGACCCAGTGGCTTAAACTCGCTAGGTATGTGTGCATGCATGCCCAAGATCCTGAGACAGGAATGGAAGAGAAGCGACTGCGGCGTGGCCATCCCCCCTGGGGGTGATTTCTCGCTTTCTGACTCTCTGTCTCTCTCTGTCCTTCTGGTGAGTGCAAGCGCCCTATAGCAAAAGCTTCTCAAGAAAAAAAAAAAAGAAACAAAATAATGATATCATAATTCACCTACTCAGATGATAAGTTTTTAAAAAGACATACTTAGCCAAGTCACAGTAATGCACACTAGCTGATGCTGCTATCCTACAGGCATAGGCCACATGGAAAGCCTAGATTTAATTCTTGGCCTACCATAAAAGCCAAGTGTGGTAGCACATGTCTGTACTCCCAGTTGCTTGACAGGATGAGGCAGGATTATGACATAGTAAGTCGCTACCTTAAAAAAAAAAAAAAACACAAGAGGGGCTGGCAGGTGGTGTGGTGGTTGAGGTGCTAGATTCCCACATAGCCCACTGCAGTTCACGTTCTGGACCTGGCAGCTTACTTCCCCCTCTCTCTCTGGTCAAATTAAAAAATAATGATAACAGTTGTGACTGGCAGTTAGCGTAATGGCTATGTCACTGGACTCCCATGGAGTCGACCACGGTTCAAGTCCTGAACGTGGTGGCTTAAATTCACCCAGGGGCGTGTGCATGAATGCTCAAGATTCCAAGAGGAGAATGGAGGACAAGAGATTGTGGTGTGGCCATCCCCCATGGGGGGGGGGGTGATTTCTCACTTTCTATCTCTGTCTCTCTGTCTTTCTGGCAAGTGCACATGCTCTATAGCAAAAGTAGATCCCACTTATCTGCTCTGTAGTTCTTGTCCCAGACCCCAGTAGCTTAAAACAAACAAACAAACCACCTTCTACAGATTTGTTTTAAATTGTTAACTTCAGATTTGCTTTGAATTATAAGCTCTATCACTCAAAAACTGTGTAAAAATATGAATGCATATAAACAATAACCAGAAGGGATGACAATAACTAATAAATCTTCGCTTTAATCTACATTACTATTCTGTAATTTTTTAGGAAAAAAAACAACCTGGGAAAAGTTAGTTGAAATATGATCTTATGGGGACTAGCAGCTGGCATAATGGCTAGGTCTCTGGACTCCCATGTAGTCGACTGTGGTTCGAGTTTAAGCTACCTGGACCTGGTAGCTTAAACTCAGACCAGGTGCGTGTGCGTGCATGTCCAAGATCCCGAGAGGAGAATGGAGGAGAAGGGATTCCGGCATGGCCATCCCCCCTCCCAGAGAGTGATTTCTCGCTTCCTCTCTCTTTCTTGCGAGCAGATACACTTTATAGCAAAAACCTAAAAAAAAAAAAAAAAAAGAAATAAGATCTTATGTTGTTTCTTTACTGACTTTAGTAGTTATTACAACAGACCCTGTTTACCTAATGGATATGTCAATAATAAAAAATTATTTTTAAATAATTATTTTATTTAGGGACCAGCAGTTAGCATAATGGTTATGTTGCTGGATTCCCATGTAGTTGACCGCGGTTTGAGTTCCGAACCCAGTGGCTTAAACTCACGCCGGGCACATGTGCATGTGTGCCCATGATCCCAAGAGGAGAATGGAGGAGAAGGGATTATGGCGTTGCCATTCCCCTGGGGGGTGATTTCTCCCTTTCTGTCTCTCTGTCTATCTGGCGAGCACACGTGTCCTATAGCAAAAACCTCTCAAAAAAAAAAAAAGATTATTTTATTTAACCTTATTTATTTATTTTAATTTGATCAGAGAGGGACAGAGAGCAAGAGAAAGTAAGAAAGTAAGCCACCAGATCTGGGACTAGAACCAGAGTCGGCCATGTGGGAGCCCTGTATCCTTAACCATTAGACTACCTGCTGACCCAATAAAAAATAATTTTTAAAAATTATTTAATTTTTATTTATGTATTTATTTTAATTTGACCAGACAGACAGACACACACACACACACACACACACACACACACACACAGAGAGAGAGAGAAAGTGAGAAAGCAAGCCACCAGGTCCAAGACTCGAACCACAGTCAGTCATGTGGACATCCAGTGCCCTTAACCACCAGGCCACCTGCTGGCCCCAAAAAATGATTTTTAAAAGTACAAATAGAGGGGGACCAGCAGATAACAAAATGGTTAGGTCATTGGTCACTGGACCCCCACGTTCTCGACTACTGTTTGAGTCCTAGACTCAGAGACTTAAAACTCACCCTGGGGTCATTTGCATGCATGCCCCAAATCCCAAGAGAACAATGGAGGAGAAGGAACTGTGGCGTGGCCATCCCCCTGTGGGTGATTTCTCGCTTTCTGTCTCTGTCACTCTCTGTCTCTTTGGCGACTGCAAGTGCCCTATAACTTAAAAAAAAATTACAAATAGAAGATAGTAGGTGGAGTAAATCTCACATATCCACTATACAGTTCTTGTCCCGGACCCAGTAGCATGAAAAAACATACTGGCACTTATGTGTGCTCAAAATCCCAAGAGGAGGGACTAGCAGTTAGTGTAATGGCTATGTCACTGGACTCCCACGTAGTTGACCGTGGTTCGAGTCCCGGACCCGGTGGCTTAATCTCACGCCAGGCATGTGTGCGTGCGCGCCCTAGATCCCGAGAGGAGAATGTTGGAGAAGGGATTGCAGCGTGGCCATCCCCTCTGGGTGGTGATTTCTCACTATCTCTCTGTCTCCTCTGTCTGTCTGGCAAGCGCACACACCATATAGCAAAAACCTCTCCAAAAAAAAAATAATAAAAATCCCAAGAGGAGAATGGAGGAGAAGAGATTGATAATAGTGTGCCATCCCCCCAAGGGATGATTTTTCACTTCTCTCTTTCTCTGGCAAGTGCATATTCACTATAGGAAACAAACAAAAGCACAGATTACAGAAAGAAGCAGAACATTAGCATAACCTGCTAAAAAAGAAATACAGGCAAACATGCTAAAAATGGAAAATAAGACTGACCCAATCTACTCTTTAGAAATGTGATTCATTGGGACCAGCAGTTGGCATAATAGCTATGTCGCTGGACTCATATGTAGTCGACCATGCTTCAAGTCCCGGACCCGGTGGCTTAAACTCACACCAGGCAGTCGTGCATGTGTGCGTTCCCAAGATCCTGAGAGGAAAATGGAAGAGAAGGGATTCTGGCATGGCCATCTCCCCTGGAGGGTGATTTCCCACTTTCTGTCTCTCTGTCTCGCTCTGCCTTTCTGGTGAGCGCACACATCCCATAGTAAAAATCTCTAAAGAAAGAAAGAAAAAAAGAAACGTGATTCATTAGTACCTTTGTCCTTCTTGAAGTCCAGTGCATCTTGTTTATCTGTGACAATTTCCTTCATGTTAACAACACTTCGGTGGATTAACTGACGAAGAATTTTGATTTCACGGATGGCTGTGATTGGGAAGCCCTCTTTCTCATTGTCTAGCCTCACCTTCTTCAGAGCCACTAGTTCTCCTGCCAAAACAAATCCAAATGATTACCATCAATTAGCATTTTTCTGGCCACCATCATGAACCAACAATGTAAGGGGGGGGGGGCGTACTACAAAAAGTTCATAGAAAACACGCATTATGAAAAAGGCACCAAAATAAACTTTAATTCCATTTCTCCATAATCTTTCTGAAGTACCCTTGTATATGCCCTTGGTTTAAGGACAAACTTAATGCTCACTTTAATTATTTTTTTCAAGTTTCTTTCTTTTATGAAGGGAAAGGGTACAAAGAGGAGGAGAGAGAAGATAAGAGAGGAATGGAGAGAGAGGGAGAACCTTGACAGGGTTTCATCCAGGTAACAGTCTACGCCCAGCCCTACAGCCAGCTAGGTTCATGGGCTTCAGAGAGTTCAAGTGGACCTGCAACCCCAAGGCCTCCCACAAGACTTCCGGCATTGGAATGCGATACCCTGCTGCCTGTGCCACCGAAGGATGGCTTTAATGCTGTATTTTCAAACTTTTTTGAGAAAAAATTATGATAGTGTGTATGTGCACATGTGAGAGAGAAGGGAAGGTCATGAAAGGGGCTGGGAGGTACCCTCAACATGGTTTTATTATGCCATATTATCTTCCCCTCAGCTCTCCATCTTGTCGGAATCATGCATGGTTGACATATTTCAGGTCAACCAGGTGGGCGATCCCAATCAACAGTTGGCCATGTGGATTCCAACACAGTTTGGGGCCCCGACTATGCCACCAGGTTGGGCCCGTGCCTGATACTTCTGCATCTTTAAAATATAAATCCCTGGGCCAACCCTGAAGCCTAATAGTTAAAGGGAGCCACAGGGCTGACTGGTTGGATTCTCGGGCCCAGCTGCTTGAAAACCATGCCAGGTACATGTTCATGAGGGCCTGTAATCTTTACAGGATGGAAAAGGTAAAAGCAAATTGTGGTACAACCACACTCCACTGGGAGGTGCTTTGTCACTTATTAACTCCCTATCTCCCTGTCCCTCTCTCTGGAGAGTATATGCACAATGTGGGAATTAAAAATAGAGCTCCCTTTCTGGTCTTTTTTTTTTTTTTTAATTAATTGTTAGAGGGTACATACACCCTACAGAAAGAGAAAGCATCTCCCAATGGGGTATGGTCATCCTAACATTTTTTCCTTCATTTCTCCCTTCTAGATTTTGAGCACGCAAGTACATACACCCAGAGTGTCAAACACCATTGGGAAAAGGGTTCAAATCATAGTTGGTCACATGAGATCTAGCTACCTTAACTGCTGCACTATGGGGCTAATCCTGATTCTTTTCATTTTTAAAGAATTATTTCATTTAACTTTATTTATTTATTCTCATTTGATCAGAGAGGAACAGAGCGAGAGTGAAAGAGAGAGAAAGTAAGAAAGCAAACCACCAGGTCCAGGACTCAAACCACAGTTAGTCACGTGAGAGTCCAGTGCCTTTAACCACCATGCTACCTGCCAGTCACATAATCCTGATTTTTTCTAAGTTTATTTAAGTCAAGAGAGTGAGAAAGAGTAAGGTACACGTGTGCACATGTGCAAAGGAGAGTGGGGAGAGAGGTATCCTTGACAGGGTCTCATCATGATTATGTCAGAATGCCCTTCCCTCACCCCTCTAGCTTGTAAAGACCCTGGGTGCATGTACACCTGCAATGTTTTCCAGATGACTATGCCTGTGGTCAATCACGTGATTTCTAGCACTGCAGTTCAATGAACTAATGACTATGCTGAAGCTGAACATAAAATTTTTTGGTAATACTTGAAATTAATTTTCATTTTCATTTTTTTTTTTAATTATTTTATTGGGACCAGCAGGTGGCATGGTGGTTAAGGTGCTGGACACTCACACATGGCCAACCATGGTTCCAGTTCCAGAACCACTCACTTACTTTCTCACTTTCTCTCTCTTTCTGCCTGTCTCTCTCTCTCTCTCTGGTCAAATTAAAATAAATGAATAAATAAATAAAATTAAGTACTTATTTTTTAAAAATCTTTTTTTTTAACTTTTATTATTATTATTTTTCAGTTTGATCAGAGAAAGAAAGAGAAAGTGAGAAAGTAAGTCAGTGGGTCCAGAATTCAAACCATGAACGACCATGTGGGAGTCCAATTCCTTTAGCCCCCATTTTTCAAACCATGAACGACCATGTGGGAGTCCAACACCTTTAGCCCCCATACTAAATTTTTTTAGAGATTTTTTTTTTTCTATAGGGTGCATGTGCTTGCCAGAGAAACAGAGACAGAAAGCGAGAAACCAGCCCCCTGAGTGGATGGCCATGCCACAATCCCTTTCCCTTCAATCTCCTCTTCAGATCTTGGTCATATATGCACATGCACCTCCTGTGCGTTTTTGTCTTTTAAAGAAGAATTATTTTATTTATCTTTATTTATCCATTTATTTATTTATTTTAATTTGACCAGAGAGGGAGAGAAAGAAAGAGACAGAAAGTGAGGAAGCAAGCTGCCAGGACCAGGACTCGAACCTCAGTCAGCCATATGGGAGACCAGTGCCCTTAACCATCACTCCAATTGCCAGCCTCCCCAGCGTGAGTTTCAGGCCGCTGGATCAAGAACTCAAACCATGGTTCACTACATGGGAGTCCAGCAACATAACCATTATATCATCTGCTAGTCCCTGGAATTAAATTTTATTTTAAGATTCAGATACATCTTAAAATTTTGTATTATTATAATACACCAGCAATTGGCCCAGTGGCTATGGTGTAGCAGTGGCACAAGTGTCCTGCAAGATTGAAGGCTGTGTCCGACTGTGGGCTCAGATTCCTGGGTTGGCCTGAACACAGGCTAGGATTGTGCACAGGACCCAGGACCCTGCGTTAGAAAGCTAGAGAGCTTCTGGGGGCCAGCAGTTAGCGTAATGGCTATGTTGCTGGACTCCCATGTAGTCAACCGCGGTTCGAGTCCTGGACCCGGTGGCTTAAACTCACGCTGGGTGCATGTGGTGTGTACCCAAGATCCCGAGAGGAGAATGGAAAAGAAGGGATTGTGGCATGGCCATCCCCCCTGGGGGGGGATTTCTCGCTTTCTGTCTTTCTGTCTGTCTGGCGAGCGCATGCGCCCTATAGCAAAAACCTCTCCAAAAGAAAGAAAAAAAAAGAAAGAAAGAAAGCTAGAGAGCCTTTCAAGAATGCCCTCACTTTTGGGACCAGCAGGCAGCATGGTGGTTAAGGTGCTGGACACTCCCACGTGGCTGACCACGGTTCAAATCCCGTACTTGATGGCTTGCTTTCTCACTTTCCTCTCTCTCTGTGTCGCTCTCTGATCAAACTATAATGAAGGAATAAATGAATAAATAAATAAATAAATAAATCTTTTTAGAAAAAAAGAATACCCTCACTTGCGCTCTCTCTCACACGTACTTTTTATCTATCGTAACCCAAACAAAAATAAGCCAGTAATTCAAATGCTTCATTTTATATTAAAAGATTTCTTCCTTATATAACAAATAGTAATGTAAAAATTTTATTTTTCAATCCTCTCTTAATATTTCCAGTAATCAGGGTCACAGGTAGCATGGTAGTTAAGGTGCTGAACTCCCACAAAACCAACTGCAGTTCAAGTCCCAAACCTAGTGGCTTACTTTCTTTCTCTCTCTGGTGAGCACACATGCCATATAGCAAATTTTAAAAATAATAATAATAAATTAAATAAAAGAGATTATGGCATGACCATTTCCCATGGGGGATTCTCATTCTCATTCACCCATATTTTCTCTCTCTCTCTCTCTCTCTCTCTCTCTCTCCAGCAAGCATGCACACCCTCTAGCAAATATTTTTAAAAAGTGCCAGAGGATGGATCAGCAGTTGGCATAATGGCTATGTCCCATGTAGTCGACCGCAGTTCGAGTTCCAACCCGGTGTCTTAAACTCATGCCGGGTGCAAGTGCATGCATGCACAAGAACCTGAGAGGAAAATGAAGGAGGAGGGATTGTGGCATGGCCATCACCCCTGGCGGGGAGTGATTTCTCACTTTTTGTCCCTCTGTCTCTCCTTTGCTATACGGCGAGCACACACACCCTATAGCAAAAACTTCTCCAAAAATAAAACGTGCCAGAGGAGCTAGGAAGTAGCACGGTGGTTAAGGCAATTCAAATTCCAGACCTGGTGGTTTGCTTTCTCTTTCTCTCTCTCTGTCCCTCTTTTGCCAAATTTAAATAAATAAATAATTAAGTAATAAATAAAGTTAAATTATTCTTTAAAAAGATAAAAGTGCCATCGAGGGACCCACAGAGGACATAATGGTTTTATCACTGGATTCCCATGCAGTCAACCACAGTTTGAGTCCTGGATCCAGCAGCTTAAAACTTACGCTGAGCACGTGTGCATGCATACTCAAAATCCTGAAAGGAGAATGGACGGCAAGGGACTGCAGCATGGCCATCCTCCTGGGGGGTGATTTCTCACTTTTTGTCTGTGTCTCTCTATCCAGAGAACACACACACCATATAACAATAATCTCTCTTAAAAAAAAAGTGCCACCGAGGATGAATCTCATTTTTTTTTTAACTTGCTATAGAGCACATACACTCACTGCAGAGAGAGAGACAGAAACAGAGAAAGAGAAAGAGTACATGAGAAACCATCAAATTGGGGTATGACCACACCATAATCCCTTTTCTTCCATTCTCCTCTTGGGTTGATGTGTACACACACACACGTTTGCACGCACACCTGATGTATCTTTCAATCAACCAGGTCCAGGGCTCGAATAATGTAGATTTTCTTTTAAAGAATATTAAATTAATTAATTAATTACTACTTTTATATTTGACTAGAGAAAGATAGAGAGGGAAAATGACAAAGTAAGCCGCCAGGTCTAGGACTCAAACTGTGGTCAGCCACATGGGAGTCCAGTGTCCCAACTACCATACCATCTGCTGCTCTCCCAAAAATGGATTTTAAAAAAATTATTTATTCATTTAATTCCATTTGTTATTATTATTTTTCATTTGACCAGAGAGAGAAAGCGAAAGGGTGAAAGCAAACTGCCAGGTCTGGACTCGAACTGCAGTCAGTCACGTGGGAATCCAGCACCATTAACCATCATGCTGACCCACCACAAAAATAAACTTTAAATAGTACTAATCATACTATTATTTTGGAAAACTTTAGTCTACTTAACAATTTTAAATGTACTCCAAATTTTCTTTTGTAAGTCTACTTAAGACATTAGTATCACAAATTGGTAACCAGACATTTAGAATTTTATGACAATACCTGTATCTTTATCCTTAGCTTTATATACTTGGCCATAGGTTCCTTCTCCAATAATACCAATAATGTCAAATTTGTCAACACAGCGTTTTCCCCAGTCGCTTTCTGTTTGTCTTCTTTCTCCATAACGAGGACAACAAATTCTAAAAATAAAACAATAAAAGTTATTTTCTAAAATTAAATCTACTAATAGAAAAAAAGAAAATTTTTTAATGATTATTTGAATAGTTCCTGTGTCTTTTATAAATTTTTTTATTAAAACAATGATATGAACTAGCTTAGTCTCTCACATTGCCTAAAAAACAGATTTCTGGCTTTAGGAAGACATGGGATCAAAGAGAGAATTTGTTGCTTACGTCCTGGCCCTTTCTGAGGATTGGCTTCAATATAAAATCAGGAAAGCTCTACATCCTCCAGGCCAGAAGGCAGCATGGTGGTTGGGGCACTGGACTCCCACATGGCTGACAATGGTTTCAGTCCTGAACCTGGCAGCTTGGCTTGTTTTCTCACTTTCTCTCTCTCTCACTCTGTCCCTCTCTGGTCAAATGGTCATATTAACGTGAATAAATAAGGGCTGGCAGGTGGCGTGATGGTTGGGGGCACTTGACTCCTACATGGATGACTACAATTTGGGTCCCAGACTTGATGGCTTCCTTTCTCAGTTTTTCTCTCTCTCTTTCTGTCCCTCTCTGGACAAATTAAAATTAAAATAAATAGGGACCAAGATCAGCAGTTGGTGTAATGGCTATGTCGCTGGACTCCCATGTAATTGACCACAGTTCAAGTACTGGACCCAGTGGCTTAAACTCACGCCAGGCGCATGTGCGTGCGTACCCAAGATCCCAGGAGGAGAATGGAGGAGAAAGGATGGCAGCGTGGCCATCCTCTCGGGGGGGGTGATTTCTCACTTTCTATGTCTGTCTCCCTCTGTCTTTCTGGCAAGCGCATGTGCCCTATAGCAAAAACCTCTCCCAAAAACAAAGAAAAAAAAAAATAAAGAATACTGTCAATATTAAAATCTTTGTCAATAAATGCTAACTATTTTTATCAAGGAGAGTGTTAAGAATCAGTTCATTCTCAGACTACACTACATTTATGGTAAGGCACTCTATACCTTCTAAATAAAAAAATCTGGACCAGCTGGTGGCAGTGGCGGTAAAGGAGGTTGGATCCCACATGGCCAACCACCCAGTTCAAATCCTAGATCCAGTAGCTTGAAAATCACAATAGATGTGTGTGTACACATCCAAAAATCACAAAAAGGACAAATGGAGATGAGATTGAAGCATTATCATCCCCCATAGGAAGTGTTTTCTCACTTCTCTCATCTCTCTCTAGCACATGTGCTAACAATTTTTTTTTGGGGGGGGGGCAGAGATTTTTGCTATAGGGCATGTGCACCCACCGGAAAAAAAGAGACAGAAAGAAAAAAAAAAAAAAAAAAAATCTCCCCCCATGGGGGATGGCCACACAGCAATCCCTTCTCCATTCTCCTCTCAGGATTTTGGGCATACAGGCACATGTGCCCAGCATGAGTTTTAAACCACCAGGTCCAAGACTCAAAATGCACTTGATTACGTGAGACTCTAGCATCATAACCGCTATAGCATCTGCTGGTCCTATTAACAAATTTTTTAAAAGAATTATTTGATTTAACTTAATTAATTCATTTAAATTTGACTAGAGAGGGACAGAGAGAGAAAGAAAAAGGGAGAGGGAGAAAGGGAGGTGAGGAGGGTGAGAAAGCAAGTCACCAGTCCGGAATTCAAACTGTGGTCAGCCATGTGGGAGTCCAATACCCTTAAACCACTATGCCACCTGCCCCCCACAACAAACTTTTAAAAAAAAAGAACAAAAATCCCGTAACTATTAATTTTCATTTATGTATACAGAGTTAACACGTTCTAAATAAAAGGACTTTTTCCTTCTTTAATACTCTAAGTATTATGAACTCAAAAGACAAAATAGGGGGCCAGCAGGTGGCGTGGTAGTTAAGGGTGCTGAACTCCCACATGGCCCACCATGGTTCAAGCTCTAGACCTGGTAGCTTGCTTTCTCACTTTCTCTCCCTCTCTCCCCCTCTTTCTCACTCTGTCCCTCTCTGGTTAAATTTTAAAAATAATAATAAAGATAAATAAACTAATATTTTAAAAAGACAAAATTGGATTGGTATTCATTGTACACCTGAATATGGGAATTTATTGTTTTTCTGAAAATATACCTAAGTATCTATGGGTGCAGATAAATAGATCTCCCAAAAAGGATTTTTTTTAAATCTATTAAAACAAAATAAAAGATATATCTTAGGCTCAAACTTCTATGACCTTATCAGTATGGGTTATGGAAGAAACATTTAAGATTTAGGACAAAAAGTAAGAAAGCAACATATAATAAGGACCCCTCTAAAAACTTACTTTGGTCTCTTCTTATATGGTTGCTGAGGCGGAGTGATGGCCTTTGGTTCTGGAGAGTCTGGAGGAGATGGATCCCCACCAGGGAGCTCTGGAGGGAGAGGGAGGTCTGTGAGTAAGTGGCGAGTCCTCTGTTCCTTCTCTTTCTTTACGGGTTTTGAAGGAAGAGTTTCTTTTGGACTAAACAACAGAGAAGAGAAAAAAATACAATTAACTTAAAGGATACTCAAATAAAACTTTACAAAAAAGACTAATATAGGCTGGCTAGTAAGGGATTACAAATATTTGGGCTAGCGTGGTGGTTAAGGTAGCCAGATCCCACACGGGCAACTGCATGGTTTGAGTCCTGGACCTAGTGTTTTCTCATTTTCTCCCTCCCCAACTCTATCTCCTGCAAGTACATGCACCCTATAGCATGCATGCATGCATGAATAAATAAATAAATAAATACATTACAATTTTTTAAATCTGACATTTATTCTTTTCTTTTTTTTTGGAGAGGTTTTTGCTATAGGGCACGTGCACTCACCAGACAGACAGAAAGTGAGAAATCATCTCCCAGGGGGGATGGCCACACCACAATCCCTTCTCCTCCATTCTCCTCTCAGGATCTTGGGCACGCATGCACACGCACCCAGCGTGAGTTTCAAACCACCGGGTCTGGGACGCAAACCGCAGTCAACTACGTGGGAGTCCAGCGACATAGCCATTATGCTAACTGCTGGTCCCAACCCCTGACGTTTATTCTTAAAAATATATTACAGAGGGCCAGCAGGTGGCGGGGAGTTGAGGGAACTGGACTCCGACATGGCCGACTGCATTTCAAGTCCCGGATCTTGCAGCTTGTTTTCTAACTTTCCCTCTCTCTCTCAGTTTTTCGCTTTCTTGTTCTGTCCTCCTCTGGTCAAATTTAAATAAATAAATTTTTTTTTTGAGAGGGTTTTGGCTATAAGGCCCACGTGCTTGCTAGAAAGAGAGAGAGAGACAGAAAGTGAGAAATTTCCCCCCGGGGGGGATGTCCACACTTCAATCCCTTCTCCTCCAGTCTCCTCTTTGGATCTGGGGCACACATGCACACACTGCGTGGAGTTTAAGCCACCAGGTCTAGGATTCAAACTGCGGTCAACTACATGGAAGTCAAGCAACACAGCAATTACGCCAACTACTGGTCACCCATTAAAATAATTCTTTAAAGAAAATATTACAAAGATTTTATATTTAAGGGAAAAAAACTATAGCATGATGAAAGTTTATTTTAACTGAAGATACTGAAGTCTTACCCAAGAAAAAGTAATCTATAGCACATTAAAGAAAAAAAAAATAGGGGCCAGCAAGTGGCATGGCAGTTAAGGTGTTATACTACCACCACATGACTAACCTCAGTTTGAATTCCAGACCCGGTAGCTTGCTTTCTCACTTCCCCTCTCTCTCCTGCCCCCAACTCCATCTCTTTGGAGAGCACAAGTGCTCTATAGCAAATTAAAAAACAAAAATAAAAATTTTTTTTTTTTTTAATTAGGGATAGGCCTTCATCAAAATCTGTCTTTAATTTCCATCCATGGGGCAGACAGGTGGCGTGGTGGTTAAGGTGCTGGACTCCCACATGGCTGACTGTGGTTCAAGTCATGAACCTGGCGGTTTGCCTTGTCACTCTCCTTCTCTCTCTCTCTGGTCAAATTTAATAGCAATAATAAGTAAATAAAATTGAATAAAAATTCTTTAAAAAAAAGATTTCCATCCATAAATTCTATTTAAATTTTTATCAAGAAGAAATATAGGACATGATCACCTTAAATTCACAAAGTATCACTGCAACTCAAAGTCTACCAAACCTGTTTTCCATTCGACAAAGAATAATCACATGGCTGGCAGGAGTTGCAGTGGTTGAGGTGCTGGACACTCACATGGCTGACCACAGTTCAAGTCCTAGACCTGGCAACTTGCTTTCTCACTTTCCATTTCCTATTCTTTGTCTGTCTCTCTCTGGTCAAATTAAAAATAAATTAATTAAATTAAAAATTATTTTAAAAACCAAATATTGCACGTATTTCTGGAGTACCCACTCTTCATTTTAGCCAACAAAAAATTAAATAATGATCAAGAGCTCAACAATATAATACTACTATATTACTAAGGATGTGAAAAGACCTTGTAAGAAGCAAATAGTATTTTAGAGTGTTTACAAGAAATATAGTGGGGGTCCGGCAGGTGGCGTGGTAGTTAAAGACATTGGATTCTCACATGGCCAACTGAGGTTCCAGTCCTGGACCTGGTGGAGCTCTCTCTCTCTCCTTCTCTGGTCAAGTTGAAATAAACAAATGAATAAATAAATAAAGTTAAAGAAAATAATTCTTTTTTTTTTCTTTTTTTTTTTTTGGAGAGATTTTTGCTATAGGGGGCGTGCGCTCGCCAGACAGACAGAGAGAGACAGAGAGACAGAAAGCAAGAAATCACCCCCCAGGGGGGATGGCCACACTGCAATCCCTTCTCTTCCATTGTCCTCTTGGGATCTTGGGCACGCACGCACACGTGCCCGGTGTGAGTTTAAGCCACCGGGTCCAGGACTCGAACCATGGTCGACTATGTGGGAGTCCAGTGACATAGCCATTGCACTAACTGCTGGTTCCCCAAGAAAATAATTCTTAAAAGAAGTATAGTAGGGCCAGCAGGAGGTGTGTGGTGATTAAGGGACTGGATTCCTACATAGCTGACTGCAGTTGGAAGTCCCGGACTCGGTGCCTTAACACTCGCGCCTGGTGCATATGCGTGCATGCCAAAATCACAAGAGGAGACTGGGAGGGAAGGGGCTGTGGTGTGACCATCTCGCCTAAGGGTGATTTCTCACTTTCTGTCTCTTTGTCTCTCTCTGTCCATCTACCAAGCTCACACGCCCTATAGCACTAACCTCTCTCAAAAAAAAAAAAAAAAAAAAAATTAAGAATAGGGGCAGCAGGTGGTGTGGGAGTTAAAGGCACTGGACTCCCACATGGCTACTGTTCAAGTCCCAGACCTGGCAGCTTGCTTTCTCGCTCTTGATTTCCCCTTCTCTCTCTGATTCTGCTTGGAAATATTAAAAAATAACTAATTGGGGCCTGCAGGTGACATGGTGGTTGGAGGAACTGGACTCCTACATGGCTGACCATGATTTGAGTCCAGGCTCTGATAGCTTGTTTTTTCTCTCTCTCTGTCCCTCTCTGGTCAAATTAAAATGAAATAAATGAACAAAGTTAAATGTTTTTAAAAATTATTTAAAAAAAAAGAAACGAATTCATTTCCTTTAAAAATAATAATAATAAATGGAATTAAATAAATGATTCTTTTTTAAAAAATTTACATAAAAGATCATAGGACCAGTAGGTGACATGATGGTCAGGCACTGGACTACCACAGGGCTTACAGTTATTCAAGTCACAGAGTCAACGGCTTGAAAGTTCACGCTAGATACATTTGCATGCGTGCCCAAAATAACGGAGGAAAAGGGATTCCTGTGTGGCTATCCTCCCTAAAGCGTGATTTCTCAATTTCCTACCTCTTGTCTCTCTCTAGCAAGTACATGTACCCTATGGCAAAAAACAAATATAGTATTAATAATAGAAAATAAGAACATAACCTTTTTTTTTTTCTTTTGGAAAAGTTTTTACTATAGGGTGTGTGCACTTACCACAGAGAGAGACAGACAGAGACACGGGAAGCAAGAAATCATCCCCCAGGGGGGGATGGCCACGCCAAAATTCCCTCTCCTCTCGGGATCTTGGGCATGCACGCACATGCTCCTGGCGTGAGTTTAGGCCACTGGGTCCAGGACTCAAACCGCAGTCGACTACATGGGAGGTCCGCAACATAGCCATTACGCTAACTTCTGCCTCCAAGAACATAATCTTAAGAGCTATTACTTTCTATCAATTTTTATCATTTTAATTCCTTGTAAATCAGATAGAACAATAGATTCCAGGTTAGTTTATACCACATCAACCAGAACTGGAATAGTAAGAAAAGTACAAAATGTTCACCTGAGGGGACCAGCAGGTGGCATGATGGTTAGGGTGCTGGGCACTCCCATATGGCCAACCATGGTTTGAGTCCTGGACCTGGTGGTTTGCTTTCTCACTTTCTCTCTCTCTCTCTCTGGTCAAATTAAAATAAATGAATGAATAAATAAAATTTTAAAATAATTATTAAAAAAAAGTTCACCTGAAAATATTTACTGAATTACTAGTAGAGAGGAGCACACATTATTATTATTTCTCTACTCAGCTTTTTGTTTTGAGAGGTTTTTGTCATAGGGCACGTGCCCTCGCCAGACAGACAGAGACAGACAGAGAGACAGAAAGCGAGAAATCACCCCCCGGGGGGATGGTCATGCCGCAATCCCTTCTCCTCCATTCTCCTCTCGGGATCTTGGGCACACACGCACACACACATGCCCAGTGTGTCTACTCAGATTTTTCTACCCTGGGAACAAAACTATTAGAAAACTCCTGAGTTAGGGGCCGGTCTGTGGCATGGTGATTAAGGTAGACAGATCTCACATAACCAACTGCATGGTTTAAATCCTAGACTCAGCTGTTTGAGAAATGCTCAGGGCACATGTGTGTGCATGGCAAAATCCAGAAAGGGGGAAAAATAAAGAGAAGGGATTGCAGTATGAACATTCCCCAGGAGCAACTGGTGGGGACTGCTTTCTCACTTCCCTCTCTTTCTTCAGCGAGCACACAGGCCCTCTAGTAAAACAATTTTAAAGAAAACTCCTGCGTTAGAATGCAGTGTAAATTTTTTTTCTTTTCTATTTTTGCTATACAGGTGTGCACATGCAAGAGAGAGAGAGACAGAAATCACTACCTGGGGAGACAGCAACACCATGATCCCTTCTCCTCCAGCCTCCTCTTAGGATTTTGGGCATGCACATACATATGCCAAGCATGTCTTTCATGCCACTGGGTCTGGGACTCCAACCACACAGTTGGCAATGTGGGATCCAGCCATCTTAACCACTACCTCACTAGCTGGCCTGAAAAATTACATTTTAATGATGCTAATTTCAAAAAAGAGTGAGTGATACGATATGTACTATCATTTCAAGGCAAACAATTTCAATAGAGGTCAAATCCTGTTTCAACTAATTCCAACACACTAAAAACCTTAAAAATTTACTAATGAGTCACAAAACTATAATGCATACA